AAGGGTGAAGGAGAACATGGAAAAGTAGCCAGGTCTTTCCACAATGGCTTTACAAAAAGCAACCTTAAAACCAAGAATGAATGTGTCTTATCAAGACAGAACATGTGCTGAATCCATTCAGATGAAACCTGGAGTGAGATACTGAGGAACACCAAGTTAGTGTCTCATTGTTCGAACCGCATAGACATTCAAGAGACTAAACACACAAACACCATCCCAGACTTCACTGGTGGCTGAGGAGGACGACAGGAGAACTGTCCTATTGGTGCCCTACTGACAAGTCAAGCTTAGAAGGATAAGAAATGGTACCCAGGTAAGGCAGTGTTATGTGGAAAGGAAATACAATTGGGGAAATCTTAAAGAATTTATAAGATTTCCATAAGGGAAAAGGAGCAATTTGGGGAAGAATTAATTAGAGCTACATTATGAAGATGAGAAAATAAATAACCATTTAGAGCAATCACTGTAGTACAATTTGGTCAGAGCAAGAAGTTCCAAGGTTGAATAATTCAAACTGTGAGTTAAACCTAGATTATAAAGTTAGATGAGAGGTTCCCCTGAGCTGTGCCAACAGGGAGACCAAAGCAAACATTTTCTCTAACTATCTGCAATTTTGTGTAAGAACATGTACTTTTTTAGAATGTCACCTGGACACAGACACTAGGTACAGACAGCAAGAAGATGATCTGGCCAGGCAGGTGCAGTGAAATCACAGCATCTTTGAAGCCAGAGCCCATGTCAAGTCAAGTCACTGGCTTTTAGGGGGTTGTCTGAAGTCAGCGTCCTTGCTGTTCGGGACTGGTAGCTGAATAGCCCTTCATAAGCTGTGAAGTAGCTCGTGAGCTTCAGGAATGAGCACATGGCAGCACTTTGCTGAGCCCGTAGTGGAAGAAAGAAGGGAACTGGTCTATAAAGAAGGAAAGACGGGATTCACTGCGACCAGAGAGTCCAGGAGAGATTGGTTAGAAATGTGCATGAAGCTGTGAGCGAAAATAAAGTGCTTAGAATGCCCACTGTCCCCAAACCCTGTCCACCCTTCCTGTACTCTGTGGAAGTGGAAACTCACAGTATGTGACCTCATGTGGCTGGTCAGTTCCACTCAGCGTGCTTTATCAGGTGGGAAGAAGGTGACATGGAGAGAGAAGGCATGTGAGAAAGGAAGTGGATGAACCTGAGAAACTATGCTGGAGCAAATGACAGTGATAAACAGTGGAAAAGCTGGGTGACCACCAGTCACCCAGAAAACTAGACCTGCATAAGTAGAAACCTTAAAGTTTCAATAGGAAAGAAATAGAAAATGTTATTATACTATCATTGCTATTTCCATAATTGCATTATTTATAGCATGCAGAATTCATCAGCCCTGAGCAGAGTGCCCCCCCAGTGGCAGAGTGGAACATGCTGAAGCTCACCTGCCAGCACTATGGAGAAGAGGCACAGAAAGGGAAGCTGAGGACATTGTGGTCGTGGTTTCCATGAAAAAAAAAATTTATTTGGGTACTCGCAATTCATCAACACAGCTAATCTTCCCTACAGGGAACATTTAACCCCAAATAGATTGAGAGGAGTAGAGAAAGATCCATGAGTGTGCACTTACCATCACTGAGGCGCTCCAGAGCCACTTTTTGCTGCTTTGTTTATAACCTGAGATGAAATCCCTGGGAGTTTACAAAATACGACATTTTGTCAAAATCAGATAGGTCTACATTGGACTTGGGAAAAGTGAAGTCATGTTAGAGCAAGCATTCAGAAAGAACAGAAATTTTTCCTGCAAGAAAATAAGCCTGGGTGGTTGTTTTATGCTTTATAAAGTATATGATGCTATCATTTAATTTTCTGCAATTTATTTTTAAATTCTAAAATATCTAAAACTCTAAAGGTTCAGTATAATATACTAGACAAGTATGTTCCCACCACTTATAAAGGTTTCATGGTAAAAAAAAAAGTGGGAATAAAACAAAAAAATAAATAAAACCCGCTTAATTACAAAGCTGGACGAAAAGCCATATTAATCCCATAGACCCCTAAAGTTGAGATGCAGATTTAAATGTGTGCGAGAGTCTGCATCGTCACTCAGGGTGGAGCACTTACCTATCATGTGTGAGACCCTGGGTTTGACCCCTAGCACTGCCAAAAAAGAAAAGCAGAAGCAGTAAGAAAGCACCATGACCTCATTTAATTGTTCCATTTATTATTTGTTCTCTGGACAGTATACACACAACATGGTGACATGTCTTACTAGGACAGTGTCCTGGATTAGGTGACAGACATGTGATCAAAAGAGAAGCAGTGTTCCTTTGCGTAGGCAGTAGAGACTGCCAGCCTGATTGCTAATCCTCCCCTTCAGCCTCGTCCGTGTTCACAGTCACTTATACACAGGTCCACACATCTGGTCTCTTAGGGTTGAAAACACACACATATCTCCCCTCAGAACTGCATGCTCCATTACTTTCTATTTTCTTAATTCACTCAGAGAACATATTATCTATACCCATTTTACAAAAAAAAAAAAAAAAAAACCAAACCTTCCTATTAGCCATCACTTTTTCAGAAAGATTCCATTTTGCAATGCTCAATACCAGTTAATATATTCTAAATGCCCTACAGTCATTTTTGTATTGATTCACAATCGGTGATACTCATCTGTTAATTCCTATTACAGAATTTCAAATTATTTCTGTGTTTTCTGCTCTTACAAAGACTGCTAGACTGGTTTTATGAGTTCTTTTTTGGCTCTTGTCTTGGAGTTTCTACAGAGGGACATTCCTAGTGGAACATCCACCCTCAGGCTTGGAAACATTGTCGATTGATTTTTCTACTTGGTTAAACAGCGAGGCTTGGTACACGGACAGGTTTTCCGGTCCTAGAAAAACCTTCATTGAGAAAGAAAGCTCCACCACAAACTAGCTTGTCCCTTGGGGCCAGCACAAATGCCTCTTGGCACTAATTTCCTCATCTGTAAACATGAAAACACTTCTTGTACGCAAGTTACAGGCTTCTGGGTGGCATGGGTGAGCGTTGGGAATAGCACTGTGTGCCTAGTACTTGTAAGCTGTCATTGTCATTACTACAGAACCATCCTCGGCTAACTCTTCCAGCGTCATGAGCGTAATATATTGTCTTGTCACTGACACTAGCATTTCCGCAGTCACTGGAGAGCCCTGCATCTTTTCTCATGTTTATTTCCCAGGTTTTTAGTTTCTATTGTTTGCCCTGTTTTCAACTGAATTTCCTACCATTCTTACTGATTTGCAGGCGTCTGTTAGAACCTATCGATAATTTGTGATTACATGCCCAGATTATTCTCCTCTCTGTCTTTATGTATCTTATTTATCATTATTATTCATTTATCATTATCCAGGCATTATTCGATTTAATGCACTGAGATTACCTCATCATTCCCAGTATAAGTTACACTTTGAACCCTTGCTTCCTCAAATCATGAGTGTTACCATGCATGCCTAGCTAACTCTTTCAGCTTTGCTTTTTGCATGGGGGATTAAATTCATGTGTAAGTAATTTTTAATAGAATTACATGGTGTGAGAAAGACATCCATGGTTATCCTTTGCTATGACAGTCTTCCCAGCACTGTGCTTTATTACTGATCAAGGACCACAGACTGTCCTTCACCTCATCTTTGCTCTCCTGCAGGCTTGAGCTGAGTTCTCTGGTCTGTTTCAGGCTCTGTTTTTCTAGTCTCTGCACCAGCACCATGCTGTGCAGTGGCTTGGGCTTTCGGGATTTTCACTGAGATGTGGGAACCTGCCCGTGAGATTGGTGTACCGTGGATGGATGGATTTTCTCAAGCACTCAGGTTCAGGACATTATCATTGCTGCAGAAGCACCAGTCCTGCTGTTTGATGCTTACCCTCCCCAGGCTGTCACCCTGCTGACTCGGCTCTGCCATGGTGTCTCTTCACAGTGGAAACACATAGCCTGTGCTCCTCTGTGTTTGACTAACTGCACTCAACATTGTTTGAGAATGGCCAGTTATTTTTTCTAGCTGTAAATCACTTATTCTGCTTTTAAAAGTTCTTTTCCCATCCAGTCTTCAATAATTTTAAACATGTAAATCTGCAGTTAAATAGTACCAGCTACTTTCTTCCTCATTTTAAAATGTTTGGGTGGCAGATGGTACCATCAGCAACAAATACGTTTATTCGTATTTCTGACAAACAAGGACATTCTCCATACAAGGACATTGCTCTGATAGACTGCTGTCATCAAATCAGGAGAATGTATTCATGATGTCCCTTGTCCCTTGGTGCTCAGATAGCCAGCTTAGGCCACATCACTGGTGCACTGACCACCAGGCTCTGTGATCTCCTTCTACCTGGAGTCATTCCGTAGTCTTATCTCAACTTCCTTGACCTTAGCATCCCTGAAGATACAGACTAGTTATTTTGTGAAATAAAAATTACTTTTGTCTGGTATTTCGTCATGTCTCAGAAGTCTTTGTGTTATTTAGTATTTACTCTGTTGCAATAAAATCCATTGGAAACTCAAAAGGACTAAAACTGTTACCAATGCCTCAGGATGGCAGGAATAAACTGCTATCACCTTGAAATCAAGTCAATTGAATTTGTGTTTTTTGGAGAAATGTGCAAATTTGTATGTGAGTCAGCCACAACTGCCTTCTGAAGCTCAAATTTAGAATTCTTGTCGTATTAAGCTGTTAACGTTAATGTCACTGAGAGAAATTGTATCAGTGTGAGTTATCAGGGTTTCAGCATACTTCATAGGTGTCTATTAAACGGGTGTTTTGTGAGTTTCCATCTTTAAAGATGGCGGGATAATTTAAATCCTATGGACAAACAAATGAAGGATAAGCTCTGTCTTCACTTAGTGGGTGTGCTTGCCGGAAGGGTGCTAGGAGGGTTGTGGTCTTACGGTGCTTTACAGACCCAGCTGAGATCTGGTGTTCTGTGGGAGCTATGGTGGGGTCAGGGGTCCTGGAGACTTTTCACATCCATGCTGTTTTTTGGCTGCCTGTTCCCAGGTCTCCCAGCTGTACCTGAGCCCCACGGGGGCACGGAGCCCCTCGCTGCCTCCTCACCTCTTCTCCTGTGCAGAACGGGCCTTCCATCGGCTCTTCCAGGAGCAGAGCCCCCAGTGCTTCATCCTCAGGTGAGCCCCTTCACTGCCCCCCCAGGCTCAGATCCACCCGGGCCTTGACCGGGCTGTGTCCTCATCTTTCACCACTCCTGTTTATTCAGCTCCTCAGCAACTGTTGGTCTAGTAAAGCTTTGCAATAAGTCCACTTCACCTGTTACTAAAGAGCAACAAGCACCAGATATCACAGGATCAATAGCAACAAACTTAACCTGTAGCTCACTTCATTTTGAAGATTTAAAGCTTAGAGTCACCGCATTTATGCTTTTGAATCTAAGAAACACATGTAGAGGAACAAAGGCTCCAGGTATTAGTGGACCCAAGACACTGCTCAAGACGTAATTCTTCCTGAAATACAGGCTTAGTTCTTTGCAAGACAGAGCTCCCCCACCCTGCTTGTGGCGATTTGCCTCTGCTCATATTTCAATAAATGGTTCCTCTCAAGTGATTTTTATTTGCAAAGCAACAAAATATCTCCTAAATCTCAAAATGTCTAGGGGAATGATTTGTATTGGGTCAAAATTTCTTCCAAAAATTGCTGGGAAGTGGTTACCACAAGGAGTAGGGGGTGAAATGTGACTATTATCTTGATAGAGGATTGCAGAAATATTTAAGTATCAAAACAAGATCTGCATACATTTTCTTATATATTAGGCCATGCCCCTGCCAAAGGGAGCCATCTGTAAATACTCCAGGCTCTGCTTGATTGATAGTGAGTGGTGTTGGTTTGGAAATTGAACATATAAATAAAGTAGCCCACAGTTCAAGTCCATATGAAATAAAAACAGTGGAAAGATACACCCTAAATAGATACCAACAGGCTTATTCAAACTTTTTCTTCTTCATACTGGGGCTTGAACTCAGGACTTAAACCTTGAGCCATGCCGCCAGCCCTTTTTTTGTAATGGATATTTTCGAGATAGGGTATAGTGAACTGTTTGCCCAGGCTGGCTTCGATCTGCGATTCTCCTGATCTCTGCCTTCTGAGTAGCTAGGATTACAAGCATGAACCACTGATGACTGGCTTATTTAAACTTTTTAATGAGCACTCATTAATCTGCTTTTGCATTATTGATTTTATCAAGAATCCCATGGAGAAATTAATGGGTGGCTGCAAACTCGAGTGTTCTGGTTTTCGAAATAGCCAGGCAAGTGTGCACTTCCACACTGTGCTCTGACGTGTCCCAGGGATGGGGTGGGGTGGAGGGCGATGCATCCTGGAATGAAGCAGCCTTGCTTTATCTGCTTTATCTACTGGGTTCTCTAGTCTTTGCTAAAAATGGAAAAACATTTTTAAAATTGCACAGAACACATTCCAAATTGATGAGATTATGGGGAACAGAGATGGTGCTGTGAATATTAACACTTAATATTTAGTGAGAGCTCATTTGTGCTTTTATCCTCCCCTTCCCACTGCTACCAGTGCCCAGATTGGACATGTTTTACCTTCCTGTCTTCCGTTTTTTAAAAAAGACATTCTTAATTATTTAACATGGCTATTTAGGGAGTTTCATTGTGACTCTTATTATATATATATATATATATATATATATATATGTGTGTGTGTGTGTGTGTGTATGTGTGTGTGTGTGTGTGTGTGTAGTATAACCTGAATTGGCTCATCTCCTGCATTTTTCCCCTTTCTACTTTAGTCCCCTTCTTATGGTGATTTCAACAGGTTTTAAAATTCTATATTCAGTCTACATATATTCTATATATCAACCATATTCACCATCTTCCTTCTTTTACCCTTCCCCTCCCATTAGTGGACCTATTTTGCATAATATTTCTTGTATTTGTATTGAACCTATATTCCACATATGAGAGAAAGCATGCTGCCTTTGGCTTTCTGAACCTGACTAATTTCACTTAAATTATGTTCTCCAGTTCCATCCATTTACCTCTAAATGACAAAATTTCATTCTTCTTTGTATCTGAATAAAATTCCATTGTGTATAGATACCACATTTTCTTAATCCATTCGTCAGTAGTGGGGCATCCTGGCTGTTTCCATAGCTTGGCTATTGTGAGTAGTGCTGCAGTAAACATGGGTGTGCAGGTGCCTTTGTTGTAACCTGACTCACATTCCTTCAGGTATATCCCCACGAGTGGAATTGCTGGATCATATGGCAGATCTATTTTAGTTTTTGGAGGACCCTCCATACTATTTTCTATAGTGTCAGCCACTTATTTGGGCGGGGGGGGATACCACATTTCTCCACTTAAGCTTCATAAATCCTCATATGCAGAAGTGCATATCAAATGTGCTTTCACCAGACCTGTGATTGAAGTCAACGCTTCCTTGTTTTTAAGGCTTCAGTCACTTCGCAATGGCCTGGACTGAGGGGACAGTTTCTCCACATCTACCAACACATTAAAGCTAGTTATGCACACTTCACTGACAAAGCCGTTCACACACCATTTACTGCATTTCTCCTGTGTCCAGAAGTAATACAGACAGAGGATGATTTAAGAGTTGGTGAAAAACACGTGACCGTTCCTGGAACTGATGTCCATAACTTTGCATCAGAAAGAATATTGTCCAAATTTTATTTTGATATCACATTTTGCTGATAATTTCAGGTCCAGGTAGTTAAAATATTTAAGGTCAGCCCAGAAGCGGGGATTAAAGACATTTGTTAACAACTTGAGACTTAAGTAATCAAATTTCAACTTCTTTTCTGGTGAGTGCTCTTTGATCAACTTTGTTAGAATAAGTGTTCCAAGGCAGAAACAAAAAGCATTGTCTACCACCTAACTGAAGGGCTTTCTATGCGTTTTCCATTAGGTTCATAAATAACTTCACTGGATACCAGACCACTACTGTAATTACCCTGTGGGAATTTTATGTTAATCTGTTTTCGTCTGGTGTCAGGATTGTTTATAGAAATCAGACAAGTCAATGAAGTGTGTGGGATGACCAGAGCATTGTCATCCTAAAGGACAAGTTTAGTTGGTGACAGTTTGCTGAGCCTAGATTAAAGGAAAGTGTAAACCTTACAACTCCAGAACTGAAAGTCGCCCCAAAAGGGAACCAGAACAGTTCATTTCAGGGTCTGCAGAGAAAGACCTGACCTCGTTAGCGTGCACAGCGTGTGCTCCAGAGGAGCCAAGGTGTGCTGGGGAGCATGGGACTTTCTGAGGAAGGTGAGGTGTCTTTCCTGGAAGACTCAGAAGATTCAGTGTCTTCCCCAGGCCAGTGTTCCGCAGCTCTGGGAAGGCAGTGTGTCCTTCCCTCTTTGGCCTGCTGTCACTCTGGGTTCCTCTAGCTGATGTTATTAGCTACACTGAAGATGACTGAGCTGACCAAGTGTTTCTTGTCAGCTGGGGCCTCTGTGCTGTGCCTCCCCCGTTGTGTGGCTCTGTACTGTCAGACCTTAGATGACAGAAGTCGCACTATGTCCTTCTCTAGTCCTGACACCATTGGGCACACGACATAGGGCATGTTGACTAAATCTTTAGGATGAATGCATCAAATTGAAAAGTGAAATTGACTGTAAACTCTCCAGCATGGTTAGCCTATCCCGCACCATCTCTGTGTCTGAGCAAGATCTCTGCTTATTTAATTTTATTTAATTGTTTACTGCCTTCTCCACACCAGTGAACTTGTGTTTCCCATTTTGTCTTAGTGGAGAGAGAGGATCTGGGAAGACTGAGGCCAGCAAGCAGATCGTGAGGCACCTGACCTGCAGGGCCGGCTCCAGCAGGGCCATGTTTGACTTCAGATTCAAACCTGTAAGTTGCTTATTTGCGTGGGCAAAGTGCGACTGAGTGCATTGAGCCAAGAAAAATGTCAGATACAAATAAAGGAGAATGTCGTAATGGGTGTATGGTGATCAAAATTTGCAGAAAAAACATGGCAGTCAGTGGCTCAAGTCTCCTAGTACTAAAGAGGATCATGGTTCGAAGCCAGTCTGGAAAAATAGTTCATGAAACCCTATTTCAAAATAACCCGTGAAAGAAGGGCTGGTGGAGTGGCTCAAGATGTATGTCCAGAGTTCAAACCACAGTACTGCCGGAAAAAGACAGATTTAGAAATATTTTTAGTACATTCCCTTTTTAAACATTCATTCAAAAATAGTTGGATCTACATACAACATAGAGATTGCTGTTATTCACAAAGAAAGGGTCCTTTTATTATTTTGGGGGGGGGTGTGGTGGGGAACTGGCCTGAAAAGCATTCACTGTGGGGGGCTCTTGACAGCTGTGAGTCAACATAACTGACAAACTGACAACCATAAACTTGAATGACACTGGTGGAGGCAGTGAGCTGACACTGAAGTAATACAGAACCTGGCCGTTTTGCATTCAGCATCCTTTCAACCCAATGATCCCGCTACTTCATCTCCCTAAAACACTGCCAGCACTCCAGGATGAAGTACCAGGTAATGCCAAGAATATTCCCCACAGCGAAAGTGCGATCTGTGCCAGGAGTCTGCACAGGAGCTTGGCCCCAGGCTGCTTCCATTGCTTGCACTCGAGTTCTAGTGAGTTTTGTTCACAAGTTGTTTTCAGACCATGGCAGTTTGGAAGAAGCAGCTCAGAGGCTACAAGGCTTCTGCCCTCCATCACACTGACACTCACAAGAAGGAAGAGATGGACACCCATGGGTAACCAACCCAGAAGCATCAGAACTCAGCAGTGTGTGGTGCTGGGGTCGTGAGCTGTGGACTGGACCCTGCTTCCACCCTCTGCTCCTCAGCATTCTTTTGGAAGTGGTCACTGAGGATTCAAGCTCATGGTGATCGTCCTCAATTGGACATGGCTTTTGTCATAATGACCTCATCACTGCCTGTGCCTGTAGCCCCAGGATCGAGTCTCAAGGGAGAGCCATCACTGTATCCTATTCTTCCTCCCTCCTATCCTTTGTAGGGTGGAGGCCAGCTCTTCAGCAGACTTCTCACCATTGCCCAGGACCAAGTTTAATCCATGCTCCATTCTCCCCATGTTCTCATCAATTCATGTGCTGTTGCTTTTCACTCCGCCATCAGAAACCTGGAGTGCACCCGGACCATAGCTCTCTGTCCCTCTCCAGTGCAATCACAATACCCCCAGTCCTAGCTCGTCGGCCCATGAGGGATCTGCAGGCCCATGGTCCTCACTGCCGGTGGGAACATCTTCCCTTATCAGGTGACCTAGAGGCTGTTCTGAGTGGTTCCCTTCCTTCCTCCATCCCTGACCATCTTCTGGTGATCATGCAGCTGGGCTTGGTGAACAGGACAGCTTGACTCCCCCAGGCTCAGACAGGGCCTGTGCATCTTCTCACCAGCTCAGCTGAAGGAGCTACTTACTACATTCCAGGTAAACGGCTTCTCAGAAGGCCAGGCCTTATGTCTGTTCACACTTACAGGCTGGTCCACAACTGTGCTCCAACTAGGCAGCCCTGAGTTCAGATCAGACTGGGAGAAGAGCAGAGTTGCATCCTGAATCAGCCTCGCTTCTTCACACGCCTGAGAGGTCTGTTCCCTGCACATCGACAGATTGGCCCAGCGTTCTTCCTAACAACGCCCTTTCCTTCTCCAGTCTCAGCATTGCTTCCCTGTCTTCTTTCCTGTGCTGAAGCCACCTGTGGGCTTACCCTCTCCTGTCCATCATCCAGCCAGGGTCTGTTAAGTGCTACCAAGGGCTAGTGCCTGGAATTCAGGGTCGCCAGCTTGGCCTGCCACACTGTAGGGACTCGGTCTCTATGTGGACAATCACTGAAGATGTGTACCTAGGAGACTTAATTATTCCAAGGCTCCAAATTAGTTTACTCTAATGGAATCAAATAAATTCAAATGGATAAACCATTTTCATGTAATTAAGACCCTGCAAAGGTGTAGGAGGGTAAACATGTGGAAATATGTACTCGTGTGAAAATGGAAAAATAAGACCTGTTGAAACTATTCCAGGAATGGGGGGAGGGGGAAAAAGGGAATGATGAAGGGGTGAATTCAACTATGATATATTGTAAGAAGCTTGGCAAATGTCACAATGTACTCCCAGTGCAACAGTAATAATAATAATAAAAAGACCCTGCAAATTCTGGTGAGTGGGTTTGTGTGGCTATGTGACTTATAAAACCAGCACTGGCATTTTCTTGTATCTGTCTCTCTCACCCTGCCTGTGTTAGACAGTGGAGATTTTCTCACTGGCTTCCTTTTATAATAACCTTCTTTTCATTTTTTGGCCCAAGGATATGAAAGATATACTTGTTCAAAAAATTTAATTATGATCTTTTCCTTCAAGAGACCTGTATATGATAAAAATCGTGTTCAGTCATGTTCAAGAATCAAATTTGGTTCTTCACACTAAAAATAAATCAGCGTGCTCTGTATGAAATTCAAGAAACTGGTGGACATTTGCTCTGTGTCATTTCCTTGACTCCCCAGAATGCTCACTGAGGGCTTGCGATACCCGTGGGCTCTCGTGCTGCCTTGGAGCTCATCCAAGGTGAGTGGAGCAGGTGTCGTGGCAAAGGTCGCAGAGTGACTTCCCACCACACACACGTTGCGGCTGACAATTTTACATTTAAAAGTGTCTGATCCCCTGGAGTAAAACAGCTGTTGTTCCATAGATCATTCTGGAAAACAGAGCCACCTAAAAGTTCAAAAGCTAAACATCTAGATGCCATCCACTATGCCATGAGCACAGTGCTGGGGGTGTTTGCTGCCTTTTCACCTGGCATTGCAGGGCAGGGTTGTTTCCTCTATGTACAGGTGTGTTTGAAAATATTCTGAAAAATCCATAGTATCTGATTCCTCATGTAAAAACTACAAGAACTTAAATCTAATCAGTGGAATGTATTATTTTCTCATTTTTTTGAAACAGGGTCTTGCTATCGTCCAGGCTGGCTTGAACTCTCCAGACTCCTGCTTCTGTCTCTCAAGTGCTGGGATTATAGCCATGTACCACCACACCCAGCTCCTCAGACTTTTAATTCTACTATGAGTTCTCAAACTTTTAAATGTACTCTGATGAATTTCCAAGTTTATGCCTGATTTTTCTCTCTTAACTAAGAATTTATATTAAACCAATTCTGAAAGGTTTCACCTGATACCACACGTGCTCATAAATAATTTTAATTTATGAGCATTTGTTAAGCTGGTACTCTACTGAACACTGTTTCATTGTACTGCTCAAAATAATTTAGCAGTTGAAGTCAGCTCGGGGAAGAACAGCATTCTCTGCCTTCTTTGTTCAAATATGCTAATAGACTGACTACTGATACTTAAGGGTGGGAGCATGAATAAAACAACATGGTTATAAAACAAACACAGGTTAATAATGGAAATAGCAGGCTCTATTGAGTTAATTGAAATGACAAGGAAGAACAGCTCCCCCTTTAAATCACGGGCTCAGACAATCACTTATGAAAATGATCTTTGCAGACCAAGCAGGCTATATAAATATACATATAATTCTAAAATGCATCTACATTACTTTATGTAAATTGGCTTTGCAGTTTAGTAAGTGAGTAGGACTGAGTTGTCCTCTGGATGAAGTTAGGAATAACCCTTTCAAAGTTGAAAGCACCTGTGAATTAAAACTACAATGTCAATGTCAACTTCAAGTGAAAGTACCCCTCATTCATTCCTGTTTTCCTCATTCCTCACAGCACACGAAAAATGTCATAAGTGATTTCTCATCTCATGAAAAGATGCACAGGATTGAGCATAGCTTATTACTGTAGATTTTCGGTCCTTTAAAGTGTTATCTACATAAATAGCATTCGACATCTAAACAGTTCATAAAATCTACTCTATCACAGGTTTTATAAGCCACCCAATGGGGTATACAGGTGTTAAATACAACCATTGGATTCGTCTATGAACTGACTGTAAATCTTTATAACATTGCACAGGTTCACTGAAATTGAGTAGATTTTTTAACATTTTAAAAATCGTATTTTATAGATCACTTGCCAAAACTACATTTAATAAATATGGCACTTGCAGTGTTTCATACTTTTGTTTCTACCCCCAGGCCCAGTGCTCTCCAGAGTTAATGTCGTGACACAGGGGACCAGCAAGGGACTAGCTAGCGGGGCTACCGAAACTCCCAAAGAGGCTTCCTTTCTGTTTTACTGATTTATCCTACTTTACAGTTTTCATGCTGCCTAAGAGAGATGGTTCACTGATTGGGAGGTGTCAGTGGGAGAACATGCAGGCAGATATTCCCAGGGCCTGGTACACAGCACACACCCGACACCTCCCATTGGGGAGGCTCTGGCACCTAAATCAAATGGATTTGCCCCAAATTCTGCTACAGCAGGAGAGGAAAAGGCTCATTGCATGTTATTCTGATCAGAAGTTACCAAAGAATATGTAGAGAGAGAATGGTGGAGAAGTAAAAGTGCAGGTGTGGGGAGGGGTTCTTCAGTGGAGAATCCTGCAGAGGACACAGAGTTGAGAAGCTTCTTGTGGCTGTCATCAGTGTCACAGTGCCAGAATTAAAGCCAGCAGTCTCAGCACAGAAACCAAATACAGGGGCTTGGGAGGAAGGTCCCAGCTGACAGTGCTCCTGCATCATGGGGAAGGAAGGGAGGAAGAGGAAGGGGTGGCTGATGTCTGGAAGGTGATGGGAAGTCCAGCCTTCAACTCCAGCAATGAGTTTGGTCATTGTTCATGGGTAGCACACTCCTCTCTCAGGGTGGCATAGCTGAGATCGTGTTGAATGTGGCTTACACTTCAGCTGGGCCTGGTACAAGTCTGCTCCTTCTCCTGTGCTCAGTGCATTCCAGTTTGGGGGGCAAGGCAAAGTCCCATCCCTAGGGAAATTGCTCTGTAAATTATCCTAATCCCTAAATTTGAATCTCAAATAACAGAAACAAGGGATTTTCTATATCATTAGACATATTGGAACAGTCGCTTTTGAACAGAACTGCCTGGGGCTTCTTGCCAATTCCAGCCCAAGTGAATTCCAACTTCAAGAACTGTTCAATTCCATCCAAATCACTTAAGTGGGCATTGATGAATAATGACCTTCGCGGAGCAGTGATTGGCTCAGCTTGGTTGATGAGATATTGATTTTTAGTAGGGAAGCCTCAAGCTTTTACTCTAAGAAAATACATCAACTCCTTCCTTAAAAACATGGAACTATTATATGTAACTATCAAAATTTCTACCGTGCAGTATAAATGGAAAAATTAAGCCAAAAAATTTGACTCAGCAAATAGTGAGAATGCATGTACTCTCTTTCCTCACATTTGTATTTAAAATGTGAACGTTCACAGTGAATGGGAGCGGTGGAACAAGCCAGTTCTGTGTTTTCTTGGTGTTCTTACTACAACCGTTTGGTGCCACCTCTTGGCCAAGTGGCTGATTAGATGAAAACCACACTTATTTTCAGAGTTGGTCATTTGACTCTTAAATTGTAGAATCACACGTGCAAAGAAAGAATTCCATCTGAGTGTTGGTTCACATTTTGCTCAGTGACTTTAGCTTTCATTCGTCTCCTGCCCTCCCTGTCTCTACTGTTATTCCAGAAGTACAAGCAGTGTGTTGCTGTGATTGGCGTTTAATTCTGCAGACAGATTGCCAGGGTTCAAACCCCAGCTCCATTGTTCACAGTCTCTGAGACTTGAAAAAGTTACCACATCTATTTTGTTTTGTAAGATGGAGACACTGGCTATGAGGGTTAAAAACACACACACATACACACACAACCCCTCACATGGACTGTTGCCAGGCACATGTAAGCTTAACAGAAATGGTGTCTGTAAATATTACCAAAAAAAATTAATCTTTGTTATTTACAAGTGATTAGTCTGTGCCAAACACAAAGCTGACCGGACACTGAGTTGCACAGGAGTCATTTCTGTGTTGAAGTAAAGGACCCGTTCAATATCCTATAATTTGTCATTAGCTCACCTGACATAGGGAGACAGCTACTTTCACTCTGAAGTGTATGCATTTAACCATTATCCTATACTTCATGTTTGCTGTACCTGACATCAATCTATAAAGTTTTATTTATTTGTTTGTTTATTTATGTTTTTGGTACTGGGGTTTGAACTCAGAGCTTCCTACTTGCTAAGCAGGTGCTATACCACTTGAGCCACACCTCAGCCCTTTTTGCTCTGGTTATTTTTGAGAAAGAGTCTCACTTTTTGCCCAGACTGGACTGGACCATAAGCCTCCTGTTTTATACGTCCTGTCACTGCTGGGCTGACAGGCAGGTACCACTTCACTCAGCTTTTTTCTGTTGAGATGGGGTCTTGCAAACTTTTCTCCAAGGCTGGCCTGGAACTATGAGTCTTCTGATCTCAGCCTCCCAAGTAGAGGATTATAGGTGTGAGCCACTGGTACCCAGCTGGAATGTCCTTTCTTATAGAAATTAACAGAAGCATCACTTGATTGTCAGGCACAACACAAAAATAACTTGCAGCCAAAATACTTTTTAGATCCAACCTATTTTATGGCTTTTTAAATAAGTGCTTCATTGTAATTGTATATCTTTAGAGCATGATATAATTATAAAATTAATTTAAGATACATTCAAATATATACTTAACATTAGTTTTTTGTGAAAGAAGCAAAATATAAGAGCACTATTAATTCTTATCATTTGTTTCAGAAAACAAATCTGTCATCACTGCTATCAGTTTACTTTTGATCATCTTTAAAATTGGGTTATTATATGCAGACTAAAACCATAGGGTTTGGTAAATATATTTAATATACTTCTATCTCCAAACTTCAAAAACGGCTGTTTAACTTGCTTCATCATTATCCCAGCTTCTAAGTGGTTTTGATTTGCAGTTAGAATCAAAGTGTTGTTTGATATTCTATCACGATATAGAACACTTTTGAAAGAAAATGTCTTAGTATATCAAGTGCCAAGAAATTAAAAAGTACTCTCAGACTTTTTAATTTCTCAAAAATAATGTCACAAGTAGTTATGGAGGCCAGGAAAAAGAGCCAGTGAGCCAATCGGGTAAGGTTGTGCTCCTCTTGTGGCTGACTGAGAAATTGCATTTACCACATCTGTTTCTTGAAAGAGCAAGTCCAGATTTTCATATTTTTTGGAGAATTGATTGGTCACCATCATTGTCACAGATGCAATCAGTTGATGAAGAAGAAATAGCTTTTGTTTTAAAGTCGTTATCTGAAGAAGCTTTCCAGAAAGAATTTCAGATCCCAGGGTCAAACTGGGGAGCCTCATTTCCAAGCTGTAAATTTGCTGCCTCTGAGACAAAGCACCTGGGCTTGGCAGGAATGAAAGGCAGCTTCAACTGGATGCAGTATTCTATTTCTTGAGGAAGGATTGGTTGGAATGGGGCAAAAGGTGGAAATTGGACATTTTCGTGGGGCTTCCAATTGAAAGGAGTGTGTAAAGTATTATTCTCAAGAATAGCATGTGTCGGTGTTAACAGGAATTTAGTATTTTTAAAGAAATTCTGCCTGGTGCTTACATTAGTTACAATTCTTTCCTTCAGAACATCAGTCTTCAGCTGAAAGCATGGTTCAAGTTGTAGAGCACCTGCTTAGCAAGCTTGGGGCTCTGAGTTCAAACCCCAATATAGCCCACCAGCCCACCCCCCCCAAAAAAAATTCAAGCTCCAAAATATCACTTTTCTCCGGTTCTATTCATGTTTGAAATATTACTCATGTTCAAGTAACATCTATTAGGCTTGATTGTGTGCCTGCCTGTGTGTGAAGGTAATGGTTGTCCTCCACTTTATAAGAGGGATACAGTGATACAATGTATCACTTCATGAACAGGGGCTACAATTTGAGACGTTGTATGCTAATAGTTTGCACCGAAGAAAAGACTAACCTTAAATTTCAATATGGCATGATTTGAAAAGTCTAGAGCCTTCTGGATAATGGAGAATCCCTGCACGTTTGCTGTTACTCTTCAGTTTTATTTCAGTGTGTAATTCTGCCACATTCTCTTTTCTGCTCCAGGCCATGTATGTCTTAGAAGCCTTTGGACATGCCAAGACAACGTGGAATGGTGGGTCCAGCTGCTTCATAAAGTACTGGGAGCTGCAGTTCTGTGGGAGGAGAAGGGAGATGACTGCAGGTAAATGTCCCACAGGGCTGACATCCTGTGCTGCCGGGGAGACGGGGCATTGGGACCCGGGAGACCCAGTGTCACTTTCTAGCACATTCTAAGTAGGGACAAGGGGAGAAAGCCAACCACACACCATGACAGGAAAGAGAAGACCTGTCCCTGGCCAGTGATAAACTTCTTATAATATTCTAGAAAGATTTTACTACATTAGAATAAGAATTGCAGGCCCACAGAAGGGTGGGTGACCAGTCCACCGGGAGTGTCAGTTTAGAAATCACAAACTTACCGTGAGCTGAAACTATTCTCAAATGCAAGGTAAACTTTTTAAGAGGATTACTGTATAAGCTATATAATGTTGAACACAGCTAACCCAAAGTAGCTGAACCAAACCACACTTACCGAACACAGAATCGAATTCAGTACTCAGATCATAAGCTTATGTAATTTCTTCACACAACACACAGAGAAATTTATCTCAAATACAACTGAGTCTGAAGACAGGCACCAGTGGCTCACACCTATAATTCTAGCTACTTTGGAGGCTGGGATCAGTAGAATTGTGGTTTGAGGCCAGCCTGGGCAAATAGTTTAGGAGACCCTATCTCAACCAATAGCTGGATGCAGTGATGCACATCTGCCATCCCAGCAATAGTAGGAAGCACAAAGAAGAATTGTGGTCCAGGTTGGCTTGGGTAGAAAGCAAGACTCTATCTCCAAAATTAACTAGAGCAGAAAAGGCTGGAGGCCTGGCTCAAACAGGTAGTAAAGCACCTGCCCAACAAGTGTGAGCCCTGACTTCAAACCCCAGGCCCACAAAAAATGTCTGTATTTAAAGCAATGGAATTAAAACAAATCCAAATGTTAATTAATCATCAAGCTAAACTCCAACAGAGCATGTTTCTTGTTTGAATTAAATATTTAATGTGTATTTTGTGGAAAGCCTTCATTTATAAATCAAATTAGTCTTCACCTAGGATTTCACAATCTGACAAACTTGTAAATGAATAATCTAAGTCCGGTTGTAGGTAGCATGCCTTATGTACTTGGAAAGTCAACAACCTGAAAACTGTTGTAAGAGCTTGCAGGGCAAAACATTTCCTAATTAAGAGTTAGGAAAGAGTTTGTTCCACCTGGCTTTTTCAAGTTACCCTATCTTCCCACATTGAAAGGAAAGTGAGTTTTGACCGTGATCTAGAAACAGATGTGTTTTTCGGTATGTGCACATAAAAATCAAATCTCTCCCAAATAGGATTTGACAAATAACATGTGTGCCAGGAATAAGAATCACTTTAGATGGAAGTCAGAAGCATAAATTCTGCAGTAGAAAGTTATTCCCATTTTAAATCTGGGGCTGAGAGGACAGAAGATCCCCTTCCATGAGGACCTCCAGCCTGGGGTCCCTGTCAAAGTTTGGATGCCCTGGTGACCTCGCCCCTCTGTGAGAGAGGCCTAGGCTTTCTAATGGTGAGCATGGCTTTCTTTCTGAGCTGTTAATGACCAGAGGATCATGGCCATGTGGCTAAGTAGACAGGTGGTTCCCCAGGATATGAAGCTGAACTGCCACAGACCCATTGCCACTTTGGGCAAGTGGCCCTGGGATGACACTGTTGAAAATGTCGACTCGCAGGCTGCCCATCCCCTGCCTGCTAGACTGTGCGGCAAGATATTCCCTGTGGATTCTCCTGGGCACTGACTTTAAGAGCAGGTTCTAGCCCAATGCTGACTCGTGGGCCCTACATAGCTACATACTAGTGAGTGTTCCTAGAATGACTGTTCTTCTCAACTTAATCTTCTCTAGCAAGGAGAGATGTGTGGCTGGCTCCTCAAGGTGGTGCCCATCACTCCTTCTGCCCTCCTTCTCTTTCTTCTTTTCTGGACAGAGTTAATATGTGCTTTTTTCTGGAGTGTGAATTTGGAAAAACAACGGCCAAGTCTGCAGCGAACACTTCTCAAGCCTTCTCTCAATCACAGTCTCTTTTAGCACAGGCCTCATGTCTCCCGCCCAGTCAGACTCACAAACACCTGGCTGGCTGGCTCACACAGCCATCGTGGATATTCAGAGCAATGAACCTGAAGCTGTTTGACACCCCAAGTGCCCTTTGAATCCTTAAGGAGCAATAAGCATGATGCAATGTAACTCCCGCGTCCTGTGTGACACCATGGAGTCCTCTTGTAGGAAAACAGGCACCTCTGGGCATCGCTGAAGGCATTCTCCCTGTTCCTCCACTTTTTCAATGCTTTCTCCTCATTCTGTCCTAATTAACACCCTTAATTCAGCTCCCATCGTCTGCATTTGTAGACTTAATAGCTTCCTGCTGTGTCCTTTTAAAGCTCTGACCAAGCACTCTGGTGATTATTTTTATGGACTTTTTTTAAACCAAGAGTAAGAAATACACCAGCTTGAATGCAAATCCGAAAGCCGGTGCTATTTGAGGAGGCAGGAATACAGGTGTGCTTACATGTCGGCCTTGGTCCTGAGAGCCCAAGTTCCCTGAAGATGTCAGCCCAGGTGCTCAGCTCTCTGCTTCCCATGGTCAACAGGAAAAGTCAAAATGATGTGTTCAGAGACTGTTTCCCAGGAGAGCGAGTTTGTGGTGCCATGATTGTGAGGTGCTGACAACACTGGAAATAGTCCCAGTGGAATTCAAAGGAATTGGGACCAGAGTCTCTGTGTGTTCTCGGCCACATGGGAAGGGTCTCGAACATAAAGAGCTGCTTGACAATTGAGAAATGGAGTGGCTTCTGTGACAAGAGTGTGCCGTCCATCCTCAGGGTTGCTGGGTGCTTTCTCTCCTGTACACTGGATGTGCCCAGAGGGAGAGGGAGCAGAGCCCAGAGTGCTCCAAACTGTCCCACGTGGTGACAGCCCAGGACAAATTGTTGTGAAGATGTTGCACAGTGACTAAGCAGGCTGTAAGTTCAAAGCCAGAGTCCTCCACTCATGTTGGGTCTGGCAGTGAGCTGCCCAGCAATGGTACTTGGGAGGGTTCACTTGTCTCCAGTGCCCATTAGCACCAGCGGCATTGACAGGAGAGTGTCACAGTGTGTCACTGTCTGGGAAATGCTGTCACAAAACTAACAAACTGGTGGCTCAAAGCCACCAGCATGGACCATCTGATTATTAGGAAGCTACAGAGCCTTGTGATCATGACATCTCCAGGAAACATCCTTCTCGCCTATACCCGGCTTCTGAGCTGCCTGCCAGTCCTTTGTCTTTGGCCTGTGAATGCATCATTCCAGGGTCTGCCTCTGAGGACACCTGGCCTTCAGCCCGTTCCTCTTCTCTTCTTAGAGGGACACTAGTCACGGTGCAGTAGAACCCCTCCTGCTCCATTAGGGCCTCGTCCTAACTTGAGTGTCTCTGCACTGACCTTATTTCCAAGCAAGTCCCATTCACAGGCACTGGGGGTGAGGACTTCAGTGTGACTTTTATGGGACAGAGTTCAACCTGCAACAGACAGGGAGGGAAGACAAGTTTTCAAAATTATTTTCAGTTTAAGAATGGATCCTGTCAAGAATGAGAAAAGTAGGCTTAGAACGCTTTACAGGAGATTTGAATAATCTGTCACCAAGACTTTCTTGTAAAACATGAAAGCTGCCTGAGTTTAAACTATTTTCCACCATTTTAAAGAGAGCTGAGTCTTCCAAATTGACTCCCTGTAAAAGCCTTCTGAACTTAAAGGCTAACTAATACTTGATCAAATTGCAGTAATGCTGTTATATCTAAACCACTTCAAGTAAATGTAGATTAAAAGTTGATTTTATACTTCACGCCAGACTGCGTTTCCTCGAATTATCAACATGTGTGATTGTTAACATTTTACTGAATGAGAGTATCAAACTGATTTTAAGGTTGATACATCTCGTGTCTCCTATTGTCACCATGGGTGACACTTCCTCAGGGGTGTAACCACAAATTATAACGTAGAAAACACAGGCTTGGTTTGTGAACCACCAGCTATCAAAAAGCTAAAAAACTGTTTTCAATTTAGAGAGAAATTAATAAGTGACATTGTAGTCTGGCTCCCGGCCCAGTCCTTTTTCCCACCTGATTATTTATTTAACAAAACAGCCATTCCAGGCTCCTGCAGGATGGAGTGGCTCATAGAGCACCTACACCGCAAAGGCCTGGTTTGCAGGGAGCCAGCGGATAAAGACAAGGGAAACTTGCCAGGGAAGGTTTGCTTTTAGGCATAGCAGTGTCTTCCTTAGAGAGGTGAAGTAATGTAGCACCGCCATCTTCCTGCCCGCCATCCATGTCACTCACCTGTGACAGCAGAGCTTTCCCAGGTGGGATGCACGAGCCGGAGCTTGGAGCTCACGCAGAGACTGGATCTGTGGACCTGCCCAGGTCTGTCTCATGACTGAGCCCATACCTGGGATGCTGGCCTTCACTTTAGAGGGCAAGCACCTTTTAATAAAGTGCAACAAAGATGTCTTACAGATAAAATTAAAGAAGTGCTGTGTTCCTCCCTTCTCAGCATCGGCAATCATGGTTTATGACCTTCAGAATTACCTAGCAACATTTTCACCCATTGAAACTGAAATCTGCTGACAGGCAGAAATGCCTTCCAAGACCCGTGCCCAGGCTGTGCTAGCAACTGAGGAAACAACCAGTGACAGTGAACACAAGTGACGTGGAAGAGATTGGGGCCTCCACCTCTGCCATCTTCATGACTGTCATCGATTAGCCTTGACCTCCCATAATTCCTTGGACACTTTAGGGACTCTGAATACTTTAACTGATCCCCTCTCATTTGAAGAGCAGTTTCCTTTGTTGCAAACAGCCCAGCCCGGGAACTGGAATAAGCAGTTGGGTTCATTGTGAAAAGGCCTGTGGCAGTGCACATAAGAGGCACCATCCACCCGCACCCAGCGTGGGGTCTGGCATACAGCAGGGGCTTTGCATATGGCTCCTTCCTTGGGAAGTGCAGAGGGATCCTAAAACATTCCTATCTTCTCTTCGCCCTATTGTGGACGGTCAAGATGAAGTTACGAGGGGTGCAGACTGCCAGGTCGGAGTCGGGCGCAGAGGCAGGGGTGCCTCCCAGGGAAGCGCCTTTCCCTTCCACAGCCTCGGTCTGTGTGATGGCTGTGAACTCTGGAGTAAGAAGAAATGGCAATGGCGGGGGTGAAAGAGAGATTAATGACTCTGCTTATTAATCAATAACCTACTTCTGGTGGCAGTTTGCTAGTTGAAGCCTTAATGAGACTTCTTACTTATTTATTTTGACAGTACTGAATCTGGAACTCAGGGCCTCACACTTGCTAGGCAAGTGCACCCCAGCCCTTGTTTGTCTGTTTGTTTGGTTTTGTTTACTGAGATCTTCCCACTTCCACCTCCCAAGTACCTGGGATTATAGACATGACCCCCATGCTCAATTCATGATGGGGCTTTCTGAGAAGAGCCTCTAGCTCATCATTTATTTGTAACTGGATGCTAGGACAGGAAGAGAGTGGGCGTTAGCAATTTCTGAAAGTCAGTGGGAAGGACAGGCAGAAATTTTTCTTTCTACAAGGAAAAAGTAATTTATTTCCTCTTCTTCCTTTCTAATAAACATAATAGCTCTATAAAATATTTTTATGGTTTATTATGTCTAAATAACCAGAAGCATACATTGTCACAGTACAAAAACTTTACGAGACATGTATTCCTATGGAGATAGCTGGAAACTTCTCGAGGGTTATTTTCACAGGTAGATGCCCATAGAGGATTATAACTTACCTCAGTTGGAAGCAGCTCTGACATAAGAGTTGTACGGTACACACATCTGCAAATGTCCTTTTCTGCAAATGGACCCTTGCAAGAGTGAGTCCCAAAAGCTGTCCAACTCAGAAGCCCATTTCTTCCCGCACAGCTACAGCTCCATTTCAGACACAGTGGGATCTTCTCTGCTTGGGAGAATCCTAGAGTCTCGTGACAATTTGTATTTCTGGCTGTCTTGAGTTTGCTTCCAACCAACAGATCCTACAAGACATTTTGTAAAAATCTTAACTAATCGGAGCACCACTAATCCACAGCAATTTCTTCTCTGCTAGATGCAAGCTCAGTGAGGTGATTAATAATTGCACTGTTTTGAATTTAGATGGAAGGTACTGCAGTCACTGCATGACGTGGGGTTTGATGACTGAATGCTGCTGTAAGTGCAGCCTGCATTTTGGCTGAGATGATTGTGCCTCTGTCAGTCCTCTGCTGAAGCAGGAAGGCCTCTTGACCACACTTCTGCCCCTCTAGAAGACAGGCAGCAACGGAAGGGAACAATTGTGGCAACTCGCTTTACACGTGTGTAGATTATAAACAAAACACTTCCTTCAACAGTCAGTTCTTTCAGTTTTATATTATTAACATTAAACAGAAAATGCTTTCAGCCAAAAATGTGTTTAAGGTAGAAAAAAGGAAAAAGAATGCAAATGTAAAAATTAAGACCTCCACTTTATATTACCACACACCTACACCTACCCCCATGGTGAGACGGATCTGTCTCACCCTGTGATCATGGATCTGTGGCCTTGTGCATTTCTTTGAAGCCACAGAACTGTGGCACACAGAGTGAACTCTGATGCAAACCGTGGTGCAGTTAGGAACGCATCCATAGGGCTCCTAAGTTGAAGCCAGGTACCACACAAACACAAGACGTTGATAATGCAGAAGATCGTGGGTTGGAGGAGCTGTTACAGTTCTCAGTCCTTTCTGAGTCATGTTGCTGGAAACCCAAAACAGCTTTAGAAAGTACACTTACTCTGTGTTGGAAAAGAAGACAGGTTGCTATTTCTCACAATTAATTAATGTGAACTTCTCAAAATGAAGCTAATAATGCCCTTATCAAAATCGCTTTTCTTTTCTTAACCAGCCAGAATTTATACCTACATGCTAGAGAAGTCCAGACTTGTTTCTCAGCCTCTTGGCCAGAGCAATTTTCTGATTTTCTACTTGCTGATGGACGGGTTATCTGCTGAGGAGAAACACGGGCTTCACCTTAAGAATCCATGTGCACACAGGTGAGTGACTCTTTTCTGTCTAGTAGTTCTGCCTTCCAATGGTGATTGCACTTTGGCTGTCTTAAATTGCCTCTTATTCTTCAGAGGAGAAATGGTGGGTGAAGGAGGACTGTGGGGTAGGATTGGTTAGGACTGTGCAAACGACAGAGGTATAACTGTGTGCCTAGTGTTTGGGTGAAGTTTTATCTGTGTGGATGAATTTGTTCTTCTATTGTACTGGTTTTCCAGATCAGAATGCAAACACGCTCGTTCATGTATAGACACCTCCTTTTGGTGTTGGGGCATAACATTAGTTGTGCTCCTAATCCTTGGTCATCTTGTGGGAAAATGGGAATTATTAATAAATAATTATTGGTCATTAGTAACAGACGAGATTACATGATGGAAATGATGAATCAAGGGGCCGATTTTCTTCACCAGAGACAAAAAAGCGTTTGTTAAAATGCAGCAGCATTGGTTGTAAGACTATGATAGAAGTGAGAGCCCACAGTAAGCTGGAAAAGGGCCACTCAGCGTCACTTTCCTGCCAGCTGCCAATGTGAGCCCCACAACTCAGGCCCAGATTGGGATTAGGATGAGAATTAGAAAGGATAAGGGGCCGGGGGAGGCAGATAAACTCCACGCAGAAGAGAAGCAAATAGAAGAAGCAAGGGGAGAGAGCAAACTGTGACCCAAATGCATGCTTCAGTGGCAGGAGGGGGAACTGGTAGCTGTGGTAGATGTGTGGTTTATGGGGTGCTTATTACTGGATCTGGAATGATGGGAGTTTTTATAACTTTAGGAAAAAATGTTGTGAAACCAAATAAAGGACACACGTGCACACACAGCAGCTGCTGAACTAAGCCACCTACAGCCAAGACAGCAGCTGAAGCCAAGATAATGGTGGAGAGAACAGATACACGGCAGTGGGGAGGGTGACAATCCACCTCTCTTGCACACAGGCCGATGCAAGTCTGCAGGAAAACGTCCCCAGGAGCTCTAATGTGCTATGTTCATCTCATCCATTGTGTTCTAGTGGGGATTCACGAAATACTGGTCGCTGTCAAGGTGGCTCGATGAGAAATAAATCAGGGTGGGGGATGAGGTGGTGCTGGGTGGGTGTTTTTGATGGACCAGTTGGGGTGGGACACTTCCAGTGGTGCTTTCTGTGTAGACACCTGAGGACACGTGCAAAGACGTGGGTTGAGTGTCCAAGACAAGTGTGGAATGTGCAGAGGCTCAGGGGCCACACCTGCTGTTTGAGGAATAGCAAGAAGTCCAGGAAGTGTGACTGGAGCATGGGGGCAAGGAAGAGAATAAGAATGAGAGCTTGAAAAGGGCCAGCTGCAGCCCGACATCTGGATTCCTTTCCAGGTGTGAACGGAATGACTGGACTGTGAGTGTGCAGGGAACTGGTTTTCACTATGAAGATGACTCTAACTCTGGGGAGACTTTGTGTAGGGTCACAGTCGGAGCAGAGGGCTGAGCACCTGGGGTGGTTGTCAGAAGAGGCATGGGGCTGATAGGTCAACCAGGATGGCAGCAGTGGAAATGGTGAGATGCAGGTTATGACCTGAGGCTGATGATCAGGGTCTAGAGTGGATTGAAAGTTGGATCAGAGGGAGAGAGGGGCCGGCTGCACCCTGAGCAAGGCAGCCGTGGTTTACCGAGATGCTGATTCATGTGTTTTTGTTAAAGGACCAGTGCCTGAGGCAGGCTAGCTTAGTAAAGAAAAGGATTTATTTAGCTTGTAATTTGAGGCTGAATGTTGTATCAGAATTGTGCAGGTACTGGTGAGGACCCCTGCCTATGTGTCACCTGTGGGCCAGTGGCAATGGCAGAGCATTGAAAGAGACAGAAGGCACATCACAAAATAGAGCATGCCTGAGAGACAGGGACCTAGACTGCCCCTCTTATAACAATCCTCTCAGGAGAACCGACTAAGGGTCCCAAGAGAGCCACCTCCGTCCCCTCCTTTCCAAGGGCAGCACAGTCTCAGTAGCCCTACCTTTCACATGCCCCACTAGGAGTCAACTCCCAACCCAGGACTCAAATCATACTCAAACCATGGCAGACAGCAAGTTGAGGAGGGGTGCAAGGATGCAGCAGGACAAGTAGTGTGTCCACATAACCGGCCCTGCTGGTCCTGGCAGGCGTGGCGGGGCTGGGGGCTCTCAAACTGGGGAGCACAGGTGTCGGGTAGAGCTAGAGGGATTTTCCAGAGAGATAGGGCTGAATTTAAGCTGCACTTCAAGAACTAGTTGGAGCAGTGACAGGGTAACGTCTGTCCCCCCATGACTCTGAGGGACTAAAGACTATGACACCTGAAAAACTAGCTAGCATTTGTTGCCCTCAATGCAGAGAAACTAAAGCAGATACCTTAAAAGCAACTGAGGCCAATAGGAAAAGGGGACCAGGAACTAGAGAAAAGGTGAGATCAAAAAGAATTAACCTAGAAGGTAACACACATGCACAGGAAATCAATGTGAGTCAATGCTCTGTATAGCTATCCTTATCTCAACCAGCAAAAACCCTTGTTCCTTCCTATTATTGCTTATACTCTCTCTTCAACAGAATTAGAGATAAGGGCAAAATAGTTTCTGCTGGGTATGGAGGGGGTGGGGGGAGAGGGAGGGGGCGGAGTGGGTGGTAAGGGCGGGGGTGGGGGCAGGGGGGGAGAAATGACCCAAGCA